GAACCCTTCAACAAATTTTCCTTAGAAATGAAAATCTAGTTATATTAGCAGGCGCTGGTCCTAACTAGCATTTCGTGGGTCGGCAGGTGGCTCCACTTAGTTAGCTTTATTTACACTACAATCATGGCTTTTTCTGAGTACTCATGTTTACGTCATCATTACAAAGAATCAAGCAATATGGCTTGCTTTAATTATGTTTTGCTTAAAATCCAACGTAATTGTGGATAGGCTGGTTGGCAGGCAGGATATCAGGCTTGCCATAACGTTAATGTGTTTTATAAGGGAAATGTATTATTTTCAGACTAATCAAAAAGAATTTTAGGTCGTTTATGATACCCTTAACTTTTATGCAAGCTATGTCGATTGAAGGAGTTTTGGTATAAGTGAATGTTATATAGTTGGTATCATGGGAACCTGATGCAAGATTATATTAGATGAATTTATCCAGTTTCTTTAAGGTAATAAACGAATAGTAGGTTCGACCTCGCCTGGACTGGTCCCATCACCACTCCCGGCGGGGCTCGAACCCGAGTGTGGCAGTGCAGCGTATAATTTCGACATTTTAACTACTACGTAACACCACTACAACTGCCCTTGGGTTGCAGGGCAGATGTGAATTTCAAGGAAGGCCAGGAATTTCTCCATATCATATTATTCTGTATTTGCTATTGTAATCGATTGTATTACTTTTATTTTATTTTATAAGTAGTATTTACTATAAAAAGTACAAATTTGCCTCATCGGCAATCTCACCACAGAATTTGAGTTGGGAAAAAGCCTGGCCTTCCTTGAAATGCACATCTACCTTGTGATTCAAGGGAAAGTAGCTCTGCAAGCTCTCATGACATCTTACCTGGGCCGTTTTAATTAAAGTTTTAACATTAATGCCATTAATGCTTTGAGAGCTTCACAGTATGGCTGATTTTCTATGCCCTTGGATCACGCGGCAGGTGTGAATTTCAAGGAGGGCAAGCACTTTCCCATATGAAGGATACTTGTTACGTAGTCATTAGCGTGTCGTGATTATGCGCTGTACTATCACTGTTTGAATCCTGCTAGGGGTGCTGATGAAATCTAGGCGAAGTCGAAACTACTGCCCTATCTTGTCTGCATGAGAATACATTTTGGGAGGCAAAGCTATGCATGGCGTCTATTTATATGATTGTGGGAAAATTGAACTACCAGTCCTTCATCACCAAGATAGGGTGAATATGTCTCATATATATGATCTACTGGTAAGCTCGAAAACCTACTTATAAATAAAAAATTCCAATCTGTGTTTTCATTTAGACATGACCGCAGTCTACGCCTCTTCGGTCCAAATGGCAGACCCGACTGGATTTAGACTTAGACAATTTATGTTTCCAAGCGGACATGTTAAACCAGGCATAGCATTGGAGGCAGGAGTAGCCTCTCTCAACTTTTCTGTCTAGTGCGGACATGTGGAGTTTAGAGGACTAAGGGCTGGTGTGAAGGTGAAGAGGCTTGATTGATTTATTCTTTTACATTTCTTCATAGTCAATTATAACCTCTAACCACTCGCTCAAAGGGCTTAATCACTCTTAGCGTCTGTAGTTATGATCCGTTTGTTCCAGTGGCTATATTGTCAATACAACTGAGACAAACGTGAAATCATCTTTTATCTCCATACAGTCTCGGTGTTTCCTCCGGCTATTTTGCTTCCACCACTAATTCGTTTGACATTTAACAGTACTGCAAAATGTGTATCATTCTTATTTTTTGGACATTAACTTTATTCTACTGTTGGAAATTAGAGTAGTCTAATAAAAATACCATCTAACTGTAAGCTTGCTCCATGTTGAACCGGTTTCGCAATTAGCTTCCTTTCGCCAGCCGAGAGGCATCTTCAGAGAAGGACATGGTTACCAGCATAATTCCCCGTTGGCAAAACTGCCAATACAACTTTTCTGACTAGCTCCGCCTTGATGAGGTGCTTTGCTATATTCTTTGTGTATTTTGTTAATAATTTGACGTGATTATTTACTTAATTTTGATTCTTTTCAGTATATGCTATGTAAAATCATTGCGATTAATCGCGACCATTAGGGCTCAGACTTTTTTCAACCTATTTGATCTACTGGCAGACACATATTTGCCTATTTAAGCTAAACTTCTCACGAAAATTTAAGTTAAGAGATGTCTTCTTTGTTCTTACATTCATGCTTTTTCTGTGATTCATCGAAGCTACCGACACATCCTCGGTTCGGATCCGAGGCGAGCTCCTGGCCTCCGTCAAGCCTAACTGATAACGACGCTTTGGGAACTATAGTGATGTGAAATTAAATGCAAAACTTGGTGTACTCTTCCGTTAGGCAAGAGTGGAAGCGCTATCATTTTCTATAACACGATTATAATTATTTATGGGTAAATAATTTCTGTCTATTGTGGGATTGGATGGGTTTGCTGGCATTAAAATATCGTAGCAAAAATCACAGGCAATTTATGGCTTGCTGTTCAGACGGAGAGCAGCACAGAGGTATGGACAAATTGAAACAAGTTCCTCAGAAAAAAATCTTGACGCCAGTTACGCGGGTTGTAGGTTTCGTGAATGATCAGCCTAGGCTCTCGACCTGCTGGCATGGTTGCAACCATTCCTATCCTCCGAAATGATACCTATCAGCCTTATATTGCTGTTGGCTTGTCTGTAGATGTAAGGGTCAGCAGATATTGTCCTCCTTTGCTTGCTTGTCTGGTGGTTGTGTTGAATATACTTTGGGGTGGTGACATTGGTAATAAAAAACCCTTTGGCTGCAACCATTCGTAAGTATATTCTATACGGATAGGTTCTAGGCTATCACTGGTGTGATCTAGATCGAATAAACTTCTTATAAGAGAATAACTGATAAGCTGTAAGCATGCTTGCATAGAAAATAGGCAACTTCTTATATTGTACAGGTAGATACATGTTCGCTTCATCGATGGTACCGCTATAAAAAGTGGATTAGAGCCATGTTTCGCCTTGAAGCCTCATCTGCCCCGTCTCCCACTGGTACTCCTGACTATGTGGCGGTGTAGTAAAGTGTTGCCACGATTCGCCCGATACGGGATCGAATCTCGTGATGAGAAAATCTTTTGGTAGGCATGGTTAGATTAAATCCTTTAACTTCGTGAGGCCGGCCCATTTCGTTGACGAAAACTTCGTTATAACTCTTTAAATCACCTTAAATTATTATTCATCTGTAAATGGCCCACTCTCAACTAGCCACATCTTTAATTTGCCATTTATAAACTATTCTACTGGTTATTCATAAGTTTCTCTTGCGACAATCATGCTTTTTATGCAAAACTTTTGAGCTTCGTTCATGTGCAACCACAGCATCTCTACATCCTTCAATTGGCCCCTTCTCCGTTTGACGGGAGGAATTTATCCGACTGGTTATTAATGGGCATACCATATTCCCTCTCCTTCTTTTCCCCACCTTCTATCCTCTCCTTTGTAGTCATCTGTTGGCTCACTGCGGCGAGGCTTGGCAGCAGATAGCCTGTGCTCGTTTCGCATGGAGTTTGGCCGTCTCGGGTCCTCAGGTAATCGGTACCCTGCAAGCAGTTCACTCTGCTGCGGCACATGCCACCCGTCTTGTCGGCCTCACACCTACGCATCACTACCACCAGCCGCATCAACAGTCACAACCACAACAACAACAACAACAACAACAACAGAAACTTGCTCCTGTCCAAACTCCCGTTGCCCCACGTGGATCCTCCGAGCCAGATCCCACTCTTCGTCCGCCAGGTTGCGCGCCTTTTCCGCCAGCTCTACCGCCTAAGCCAGCTTTATCAACCGGAATTGTGGTGAATGGCTCTTCGGGCATGAAGCCAGTCAGGCTAACCACTCTACGAGAGGTGAGCATCTTATCTGATCAAGGTTTCTACCGATGGGGACATAATGCTCGACAAAATTACATATACAAAGCGCAACTATAAGTCTCATGAATTTCATTTCTTGCAAAAAGATGAATGATGAAGAGCTCAAAGGTCGATTTCTCATATATATATATATGCTTGGGTGTGCATATGTGTGTGATTGCGTCTTAGGCGTATAATTTATGTCATATATAAAGCCGATCCGGTGAGTCTTTTCGAAGAATTTCTCAGTAGATTGGTCCTTGCGTACCTTTCATTTCGTTTGAAAAGACCGGTTGTAAGGATTCGTAAATTTGCCTCACTGGATATGGAAGGAGAGCGAAGAAGACCACAACTTGTCGCCCCGATAAATCCGTATTGAGCTTTCATCCGTTATGCAACAAACATCGTCAGAGCCAGAAACCATTATTTACGAACACTCACCAAAAAACACTAAACTAGGAAATGTGGGAGGCAGAAATTCTATTTTTCCTTTATAAGTAGGCTTTCGGGGCTACCGGTAGATTATATGTATATGAGGTGTATTCATCCTATTTCGTTTAAGGTGGTAAAGTGACTGGTAGTTGAATTTTCCCACACATGACATGAAGTTTACATTGAATTTCACATAGATCTGCTTTCCCAAAATAAATTATCATCCAGAGTGAACTGCAGTTTTGACCTCGCCTAGGTCTTATAAACACACCCAGAGAGACTCGGACCATGACGGTGATGAGGTAGAAACTGCAGTCCACTCTGGATAAGAATAACTTTAAGAAAAGCAAGGTTATACGAAATTCAATCGAGACGTCATGACTACTCATATCATTGTGGGAAAATTCAACTACCGACCATCTTGCCCCTCTTAACGAAATGGAATGAAGGCGCCTCATATATAGAAATTCTACTACCCCACTGTGATTTTAATGGGGCATTCCATTATTTGGTGCTACTTTGTGCTTGTCCTACATGCATGTGGACGAGTAAAGTTAATGCGGGAAGGAGAGTGGATGTGGCCATAGCTTTTCTTTATGTAAATAAAATAGCGTATGATCTCGCAATCCTGTAACTTGTTTTAGCTTCATTGTTACGTATGCATTGTGTGTATGCAATGCTCACGAGTTAGTTGGCAATTTTGTGTCCCAACACAGACTATAAGTTAGTCAAGTCTTCTTCTCTTACTTGGTGACTCTTCCTATCCTCTCTCTCTCTCTCTAATTCAGTCCAGCAGCCGTAGATACTTTTTGCATAGTTTCCCACACTCGTAATGTCGGAACTATTGCTAAGATATTTGGATGATTACTTTGCTATCTGACAATATGACATAAAGAGTGTGTAAGAATTCCTTAGGTTAATGAATAGGTAAGATAGGACGACTTAATTAACTGTGGAGTTAGAAAAGAACATTAGGTTATTCTTTTTAGATGTCCTAGTAATTAAATAACGAAAAATACTGAGTAGGGATGTGTATAGGAAACCGACAAGAGCGGGTTTCTTTCTTACTTTCTTCTCGAATCATACTTATGCTGTTAAGGCAGGAGTAATGAAATTAATGATAATAAAGAGCGGATGTAAGTCATCAGGATCAGAAGTTTGAAAGGCTAATAAAAATCTTACTTGGGAGAAATCATCCATTGAGATTAATTTTCAAATACTAAGAAAAAGGGTGAGTGGAAACCATTATTTGGGACAAAACAGGGAATTAGACAACATCATCAACAATATAGCACAACATAATTCTGTAAATAGAAGTTTTGAAGACCAAGATTGTGTGGC